GCCACTTTCGGCGCCGAAACCGAAACCGAAGCCGAAATTCGGGCGGCCTCTAGTCTGAAAGAAACACTGATCTCTCCGGGAAGGCACTCCCCCCCCCCCCCCCAAGCCGGAGCACAATGTTTACAACGATATAACAATGATGACAAAAATAATTTTTTTTAATTAAAAATGAATAATTGTCTTTTTGAACAGTTTAAAAAGCATAGTAACTGTGCCTTTAACCCATTAGAATTAGTCGAATCTATAAAATATCGATAGGCTCGATATATTTAATGATCAGATTAGGGCTAGATCTAGTCAAGTTGTAGCAGTTGGTTATAAAAATCGCACTGACCGCTCACGTCTTGCCTCCCATTGTTCGCATGTATTGCTATTTTTATTTTATTTATTTTTTGCAACTTTACAAGTTTAAAGACTTTAAGACACTTTATTAAATACTTTTACATACCTATAAAGGTCTACAATTTTAATAATGGTTAGTCAGCTATTAAACATGTGCAATCTGTGCAATCAAATTAAAGTTCATCGTAAAAGAATGTCTAAGAAGCGCATTCATCTCAAGCATTCCCTGTCACACAAAGTGTCGAGCAGGGCAGTGTCCTGTCTCCCGCACTCTTCAATATTCTGTATTCTGCCATGCTGCCTGATGCGTTCAAGGACTCCACAATGGCCTTGCCAATCCGTTTCCGCACCGATGGATCAGTCTTCAACCCTAGGAGGCTTCAAGCTAAAACCAAGGTCAACATAAAACCATCAACAAGCTACTGTTTGCGGACGATTGTGCCCCTATGGCACGGGCCTGGGTAGTCCCTCACCAGACCCTTGAAAGAGGAGCTCGCCCCATATGGCATGGGCCTGGGGAGTCCTCACCAGACCCTTGACAGAGCAGCTCGCCCCATATGGCACAGGCCTGGGGAGTCCTCACCAGACCCTTGAAAGAGGAGCTCGCCCCATATGGCATGGTCCTGGGGAGTCCTCACCAGACCCTTGAAAGAGGAGCTCGCCCCATATGGCATGGTCCTGGGGAGTCCTCACCAGACCCTTGAAAGAGGAGCTCGCCCCATATGGCATGGGCCTGGTGAGTCCTCACCAGACCCTTGAAAGAGGAGCTCGCCCCATATGGCACAGGCCTGGGGAGTCCTCACCAGACCCTTGAAAGAGGAGCTTGCCCCATATGGCATGGTCCTGGGGAGCTCCTCAATAGACCCTTGATCGAGGAGCTCACCAGTGGCAACTGACAACTGGCCCGTCACCCATCCCCCCCCCCTCGGAAATCTGAAGTGCCCCCGGTTTCTGAAAGAAACATTGACTGTATCGATGCCCAGGCTCGTACTGTAGTTGATGTCCAGGCCCGGACTGTGGTCAATGTCCAGGCCCGGACAGTGGTCAATGTCCAGGCCCGGACAGTGGTCAATGTCCAGGCCCGGACTGTGGTCAATGTCCAGGCCTGGACTGTCGTTGATGTCCAGGTCCGGTCCTGTCTACGTGAAACGATAAAACATATGTTTAACGTGTGAACTCTTTTGTTATCAACTACGTTATAAGTTTTCATCTGCCCTCCCCCCTGCTCTCCTGCTTGTTTTTGCGGGGGCTACAACACCGACCCACTAGCGATACCACTGGTACAATAAAAATACACACGCCAGCATTAGCGTATCTCGGGGTACAATAAAAATGCACACCCGGTACACCATCATTACCCTTGTTCAGGGTACGGCAAATACATATTCCATATACATGTATACTTGAATACAGTGAAAGAAACATACGATCCCTTTGGAGCTGTAGTGTACACGACCTGTTTAATGAACTGGCAAGTTACAGCTTTTCTTGTAGTGTACACGACCTGTTTAATGAACTGGCAAGTTACAGCTTTTCTTGTAGTGTACACGACCTGTTTAATAAACTGGCAAGTTACAGCTTTTCTTGTAGTGTACACGACCTGTTTAATGAACTGGCAAGTTACAGCTTTTCTTGTAGTGTACACGACCTGTTTAATGAACTGGCAAGTTACAGCTTTTCTTGTAGTGTACACGACCTGTTTAATGAACTGGCAAGTTACAGCTTTTCTTTTTAGAGTATAGTCAGGCAGATCCATGTAATGGACACTACATCGCTCGCTACCCGTTGGTGTGTCGGAGGTGAGAAATGTGTTCTCTTGTTCTGTGTAGTGGTTCTCTTATTATGTGTAGTGGTTCTCTTGATATGTGTAGTGTTTCTTTTATTAGTTGATTTTTTTACAATAACTTATTCAAAGAGACTTCCCTAAGAAGCTCTATTGCCCCCCCCCCCCGACCCCCCTCACCGCTACATATAAAATATCATTGCTGGAAGCGACCAAAGACGTTAGATTCGAGGTTTAGAGGCTAGGTGTAGCCCGCCAAACATTGGCGGTAGCAATGCGTGAACTTCCCATCTACTAAAGTTGACAAAAACGTGAACTCAAGCTACGCACATTTAAGAATGTCAATTTTGCTCCACCCCTCACCTCCCCCCCCCCCTTTTTTTTCATGGATTCACTGCACACTTTTTATGAACTATAGTCGACCCACGGCTTAGCAGACGCCGTGAGCTGGCTGGCAAGCGAGGGGAGGGTTTGCCTGCGGCGTCTTGCTTGCTCTGGCGTATCTATATATACCCTGTGTGGTCTTGGTCTTGTTGTTTGACGTTTACTGGCGAATTATATAGAGAGATTTTTTTTTTAGTGTAGGTTATTTTGTTTGATATTTAAATGATAAAATTTGTTCAATGGCGAAGCTGGAGTTAGTGTCACCCGGGACAGGAAAAGATCCCCCACCCACACTTTTTTTTTACACACACTACATTTGGATGGCACTTTTCTACACACAGACAAAAGTGCTGCGTTGGCCGTTGGGCTGACCGACCTCCTACATACACTAGTGATTGTGAATGCTATTAGTTGTATTAGTGTTTAGACAGTGGCGTGGCTCGTGCTAGTACCAACCGGGGCGGGTCAAGCCATTTACCGCCCCCCTTCCACGAAATAAACTCTGCAGTTGGCGAAGAATGCCGTCTATTGAAAGGAAAAATTGTGCACCCCTTCCTACACACCCGTGTACAGATTTTTGCCCACAAATATTAATTCGTGGGAGGCTACTGTGCCAAAATTGCTCATCAAGTTGAATATATCGTGAATTAATTCCCTTTGATTTCTTTTCATGAAATAATCTTGTTGCCAGATAAAAATTGTTGTCATTAACTATCGCTGTTAATCCAGATACATTTTATTAATTTTTTGAACTACTATTAAATATTTAATCGACCTTTTTTCCTCTAAAAGTCATGCTTATAATATTTTACTATAAAACGTTAATCATCATATTTGTACTATTATTGTCTATAGTATAGACTATACTGACTAAACAAGGCCGTGTAACACACTTCACTTCAATTTATTTTGAAAAGGGAAGCGTTATACACAGTCGGCTGGGAATTTAGCCAAATAAGGTTTATTATCGCTTGTTTGGCAATTTCAAACAAAAAGTATTATGTGTAATGAGCTGCATGATGGGTTGTTTTGAACTAGAACTTTGAATGTGTTTAACGTAAAATTTTAATAGAATTAATTTTAATTAATATTGAAATTGATGATAGCAATAATATTAGTATTAGTGCTATTATTAGTATTATTGCTTGTATCTTATATATTATAATTATAAGTATAAGTCAAAGTCTACATTTTCTTAGAGTTTAAGCCTAAGCCTAAGTCTTAGATTTTTTTTAAAGGCATTTCCATGGTCTAAGTCTAGTTATGTATTTTGATTGATTAGGTTTTTATATGTTGCTATGACTATGTCTATGTGGTTGGTTTTACTGACTAATTCAGGAAATACATTCTATTTATCTTTTTTTAAATTTTATCATTTATGATTTTTTTTTTTTGATGACCTAAATGTAACAGTTTTCAGCTTCCATGCAAAACTATAACTGTGTGAAAGTATTACTTACACTGACCCCTCTACAGAACCCCTGCCCCTATCGGGCGATTTTTTTCCTGCTACTCTCAACCCATGATTATTTTTATTACTGTACCAGTGAAACATGATTTTATCTGCCACAAAATTAGTTAACAACACAAACATATATTTGATAATTATAAGTATAACATTATTAACATTACATTGGTCAAGTTAATAATTCTTCTCATGTTTTAACATTTTTTAGCCAAAAAAAAAGTAAAACAAATAAGCCTAGTTGTTGCTTCATTCTCGAGAAAAAGCATAGAAACTAACGTGTAATGATGGCTTGCCGTTGGCTGGAATTGAACTTCAGACCATCAACTTGATGGTTTGGTCAGTTTAGACCATTCGACCACCCAGTCACCCAGATAGCAAGGCATCCTTATTGATTGATACTGTAACACAGGAAGAATATAGACGTCACGTGACTTGCCGACTGCGTATAACTCTCAGGGTTATACGCAGTCGGCTGCGCATAACCACTTCGTTTTGAAAACGGTAAACTAAACTAACGTTTTTATTTATGCAGTATCCCTTGACCGTGACTTGACCTATTGTGTTGCAATTTCATCAGTATTTAAACTTTATTTCATTTTTATTTCACTTAGACTTATGACAAAGTTATGAGAACAGCCTGTTCTCGTCTCTTCATTTTGCACAAGACCTTTTCGTTCACACAGCTGTGCACTGCACAGTGCAGCAGTTGAAAATCAGGAATGTGAGTGTGAGACCTGACCTTACCTTGACCTTTTTAAAATAGGCTAAGTGTTAAACATTACACACTGTGTATTTATGTTACACTGTCGTAGAACGTGTGTTGGACCGTCACCAAGCTTATTAAATGCTCTACACATGTCATGGTGCTGCCAAATAAATAATGCTTGTCTCCTGTGACAGGTCTGTGGTTGAGTTGATATGTAGAGCTTGATTTATTCACGAGTAGGCCTACAGTACGTATTTACGAAACTAAAGACGAGAGTAGTAGTGTGTACACCTTTGACCTTTAGACTTTAAAAATGATACACATAACTATAAGACTGGTCATAATTCCAGCAGGCTCATGCGCATACTCATATTAATACTACTACATTTAGACTTATAAAAACTAATGTATTTTGAGTCTCATAAAATCATATTTCAAAGGATCAAATCAATGATTATTTATAATTAGCTAAGATTTTGCATTATTTACTATTGGATGAAGCATATATAATATATAATTAATAATTTGATTACTTTTAATTAATTCTCAATTATCAGTATGTCAACAATTTTAAGGCGAATTTTGTCCCCCTCAACAACAGCTGTCAAACTTTTTTTTAAAAACATTTCCCCCCCCCCCTTAAGTAATGATTATAATGTCAAAAATTGTTGACACCTTTCAAGACAAGAGAATGACATTTTTTTATAATTAATATGGATCATTTTTCATGCTAAACATATAGAAAACAACAAATTGATTAAAATTTCTTTTCAAAATTTATTTTTTTTAAATTAATTTGTAGATTCAATTTTATATGGTGGAAAAGACTTAGCAAGTTCGAATGGTCAATTTACTAGGGTGCACAGTATTTGCATGTCCCAAGGCTCTGGTAATCAACTATACACAACTGTCTGTAGGCATCAGGAACCTGCCTATAAATTACCATTCTCAGATTTTAAACATTCAGTGAGCAAGTTCAATAGAAAGCTTGTAAAAAGTGAGTCCTAGTCCTACCCAATTCCTCCACAGCCCCGCCCAAGACCTATCCTGCCCAGGATCATATTCAAAGTTCTGCCTACAGACCTCCTGCCGTATGTCAATGATTACTGTATAACAAATGTTATTCACATCAATAAGCTTATACTCAGAGGAGATTAATTTTTGCAAACCGCATGTACAACCAAGTCCTACCAAAGTATTACAGGTACCGGTACCAGTATCATAATACAAATCCATATTTTCTCTCCTCGGCTTTAACGCCATGTTATTTAATGTCATCTCAAGGAAATGCTGGAAAAATTACATTTGCTGAATTGATATCTATTTTCAGTTATGATTAAAACATTTTGAGTCGCACTGAATCCATAACAAGGCACCGTGACATCACATCCACTTTTCAACCATGACCACCACACGGCTGAATAAAAACGCCATATTAATACCAGTCCTCTTAATTGGGTCAGCTGCTTTCATTTACATTTTGACGAGGCGAGTTGGTGAGTCGTTGTTTCTTTGTTGATGTTGTACCAATATTGGGTTGATTAAATAGTTATCCAGCGATGGCAACAAAATACACCATCAATAACTTAAAACTTTAATTTCAACAAATTCAGTAATATATAGATCGATTATTTGGCTACCATATTTGTCAAGGAACATTAAATTTATTGTTTTACTTTCTTTTTTAATTACAGGAAGCACACTATGGAAGAGGGGTGTAGAGGAAGGTAAGGGTGGTTGTGTGGAATGTTATACTTTTGTATTGGTACCACTTGTTTTTCCAAATGTTGACATTTCACTGACATAAATTGATTAATTATAAGTTTGCTGGGGTTTAAATTACCTTCAGAACCGTTCAAAAACCATCTATTTTACTTTTAGGTTAATTTTTTGTTATCCACTTATATACCGGTACCTCATTTTGTGAGTCTCTGTCCCACTATTTATGATTCATTTATCTATATATATATATATCCCCCCACAGTCAGTGTGAACTATAAGCCACAGGTTTAAGTCTACACTGGATGACATTGAATACTGAACTGTCATCCACTTACAATCCATGAATAAATTAATGTGTAGGACACTTTATTCCAATTCCAATATAACGTAGCTCAATACATGATTAAGTGTCATTCTTGTGTTACACACCCACTGAGTTTCTTATAAACAAGTTTCAGAAAGTAGTCAGGAAAAAAAATGCTATAGATTTTTTCTGCCTGCGAATATATTTTGTCCCTTGCCGCAATAATTGAATTATTTTTGTTTAGGCTGTAAACTAGATAAATAAAAACATAGGAAGCAATCCACGTAAAACTTCCCGTTACCTTGATGTATGCCAGTTAACCACCACATCCCTCCCCACCCCTGCATTTAGTTTGTATCGTGTGTCTGTTTCCAACAGGTCTTGATAAGCCATCAAAGCCTGACATGAAACCAGAAGTGAAGAAGCCAGACAAAATTGGTTTGGATGGGCATTACCTCCCCTTTTATGGTTTTACCATAGTGTCTATGTTGACGGACAGACTTCAGATGGAGGATGTGATCAAATACATTAAAAGCACTGAAGCCTTGAGCAAATACTTGGCTCCGTTGCCCATTTCTTCATATCACGTCACCATCTTTGATATATTTACCCAGCGGAGCGTTCCAGAAAAATATCGCCCAAAATCAGGTTTAGTTCCATCAAAACATTGGGCCAAAGCCTTGGAAAACTTTCGTTCGGACATGACAGAGTCGCAGATGATGTGCGACAAAATCCAGGGCCAAAACTCTTTCAGACCCAACAACTTCAAATTCCAGCCTAAACTAGGGAGGCCTCTACTTGTGGAGGGAACCATAACAAACTATCAAGAAGTGACACGAGTGAGGAACAATTTGACATCATTACTTAAGAAGGATGATGGGAATCGTGTGTTTCACTTCACACTGGGATACATTTATCGCGATGTGGACAGACAAGATTTAGGCATTATTGATAAGGAGCTTGTTGGACTGTGGAAATTGTTAAACACAGAATATGAACTTGACCAGCCTAATGTTTATTATTTTGAAACAATGGAAGAATTTATTCCTTATAAAACTCTGTTGATATAATCAAATCCATTCTTGTCTTGTTGGTTTAATTTTACTTTTAACACTGAGCTTTTTTTTATTTCAATTTTCTCTTCTGTTATTATTTTTTAAATATTTTATATATTTATAAATATATATATATATGAATTTATATGTTATGAGATTATACATTTTTAAAAAAAACTAGATATGTCTGCATTGAATACTATTTTCTTACATGCTCTAATGGTTTTATCATGCTGCATTTCAACTGTTTATACATGCATCTGTTGTTTACCCTTCTCCAATAATAAATAACATCTAAGTCAATTGCGTGGTCACTTTGTTGTTCTGTAATTCAAATTCTGTCAAGCTCATAAATTCAGTAGGATGTTAGCTTGTTTTATTAAAACTGGGTTACTTTTTTATCAGTTTATCAAATATGTGGCTTTGTTTCACTTGAAGCAACATAGATGTATTAACTACCATAACTTTGTTATTTAAAATCCTGTGTCCATGTATAGGCTAGTAGGGTTTCCCAACCTTTTCTAATATTCAGCAAGGATATGAATAGTATGGCTAAGTCTCACACTCGCTATGAATAGTTTGTCTAAGTCTCACACTTCATATGAATAGTTTGACTAAGTCTCCTACTCCATATGAATAGTTTGACTAAGTGTCACACTCCATATGAATAGTTTGACTAAGTCTCTCATTCCATATGAATAGTTTGACTAAGTCTCACACTCCATATGAATAGTTTGACTAAGTCTCACAACTCCAATGAAAAGTTTGACTAAGTCTCACACTCCCAACGAATAGTTTGACTAAGTCTCATGCATCCAATCAAGCACATACAAAACTTAAAATCGATTTTACAACTGAAAAAAAAATGGACCTAAGAATTGTTGAATTTCAAAGAGAAGTGTAGAACTTATAAATAAAAGTGTGACTTAAAAGTTGTCAAAATATGGTACTTTAAATGTTAATGAAGATATTTTACAAATTTACAAACATTCAGTTGATAAATTTAAAGTCAATGTCCCTCATAATAAATTTATAATTAATATAAGTCACCTTGTACCACTTGGAATCTCCCCAGGTTAGGAATCCCTGGGCTTGAATTTTTATTGATTTCTGGTAGGCTGTAATGGCTAGACTATATGTATTTATTTTCTTGACAAAAGATAGCAGGATTCTTTACTTTTATCTCCAGGTGACAAAGTGAAAGGGCGGTTCTTTAAAATCAACTCTGCCGGCAAGTATATCCAGTTCCATGGATATACTGTCGTGTCAATGGTGCAGGCACGTATGAGATACAACAACATCGTAAAACATCTACAAACTTCCAAAGTTTTAAGCAAATATCTGGCCCCACTACCTGTCTCTTCTTACCACGTGACTATGTTTGACTTATTCACTGAACGGAATGTTCCAGAAAAATACCAGCCCAAATCTAAGCTGGTCGCCACCAAACACTGGCTGAATGCTGCAGACGACCTCCAACAGGACCTGTCTGCTGTACAGAAAAGCTGTTACAGCTTTATAGGAGACATGGTTTTCAAAAAAGAAAGATTTCAGCTAGGTAAATACCCAGGTGATGGTCTCTCGGTCCATGGCAGCGTCACCAACATGGAAGAGGTGACCAGACTGAGGCAGGATATTGCAGGGATATTCCACAGTAGCAAACCTCGACCGTTTCACATGACCTTGGCTTATATTTTCAGAAAGATTGAGGACAGCGATGTTCAAGCTGTGAATGAAGAAATCCAACATTTGTGGAATCTAATCAGAGACGAATATCCACTCGAACAGCCGAACTTATTCTATTTTGAATCTATGGAGGAATTCATACCATATACAAGATTTTATTAAAATGTAAATATAGTAAATATGTTGGTGGGATTATGTCCATAAGCATTCATGGCAATGACCTGTGCTCACAAGCTACGGCTACGACTTATATTATATTTACATGTTCCAAGAGTGTGCCCCTGGCCCTGGGCTACCTCACAGGGACCACAGCTACTTCACTGGGGCCCCATGAATTGTAGATAAATCAACTGCTCGATAAAGTTAAATGTGACCCCACGAGAAAAATGTGTACCCAGTATACCAATATCACAAAAATATATTTTAAAAATGCACTAAGTTTTGATTTTTATACCATTTTTTTTTAAAAATAGTAACTGGTGTCTTTAACCGACTACAATTAATCTAGTGGAACCTATTAAATATCGCTATGCTCGATATATTTGATGATCATAATTTTTTAAAGGCTAATCTTGGAAGAGGCTTACACTTTACACTTTCTTCGATTATAAGTATCGTAATGTTTTGAAAATTGGCGAATCCTGATATTATAAGGCAAAGTCTTACTTTACTTTGTTCGCATATATTGGTATTTTAAAAAAATATATATTTTTTTTTGTGCAACTTTAAAATTAAAGACTTTATTAAACTACCTTTACATCCATATATAAAGGTCTATAATTTAGATATAGTTCCTGCAAAGTATCATACATGTGCATTGTGTTTTCCAGTTATAGACTATGTCCTCATAAAAGCCTGATTTTTAAAGTAGGAAAAATTGTATGATGGTATCCTTTTTTAAAAAATTGAGATATTTTGGTTGAGCATAATTTTAAAGTTAGCTAAAATTCCATGCATGTTGAGCCAGATAAAATAAAAACTAACGAAATTGATAAGGTTTTTTTTTTTTGGTGGCATTTTCTTTAACTTTAATAAATGTGCTACTTTTGTTACACAGTTTCCTGAATAACAGAATTGTTTTATTTTTTTAATACTTTACCCATATTTACGAAATTACCAACTGCTTTTCTCTTTTTAATATCATAGTAATAAACAATCTACACCACCTATTTGAAATTTTTTTTTAAATTAAATTCATTTCCATGATAAATACAGTAGAAATCTATTTTTTTTTTGTTGTAAAGTTACAGTAGTTTGAAATTCCAAATAAACATTCCTATTAACTGTATACCTTATTATTTTACGATTTCCCTCATATAAAATTATACAATAATAAATATATGATATTTTGTAAACATTTCCTGTACTACCTTTAACGTACTCATGGCGCTCATATGCCATTTTAAAAAAAAATAGGCCCACCAGTTTAAAAAAAAAAAGCATGAAAATGTAGATCTATAGAACTTTGAAAATGTAGATCTATAGAACTTTGAAAATGTAGATCTATAGAACTTTGAAAATGTAGATTATAGAACTTTGAAAATGTAGATTATAGAACTTTGAAAATGTAGATCTATAGAACTTTGAAAATGTAGATCTATAGAACTTTGAAAATGTAGATCTATAGAACTTTGAAAATGTAGATCTATAGAACTTTGAAAATGTAGATCTATAGAACTTTGAATAAAACATTTGCTTTTTTTTTTTTTTTTCCTTTTTTTTTTTGTTTTTTTTTTTAATTACTTTTNAAAAGTTAATTATATTATCCTTAATTTTGGGGGATTTTTTAAATTGCGTTCCACGTGTGAAATGATGTTAGCTGTGCGTTTTTGTGATGGGAACCATTTTTTGGAAGAAATAGGACTGTTGTTTGGCATCGCTCGATTTTATGATACAAAATCTGCCATTTCCGGAAACGCCAACCCCCACAAAAGGTGACACATGGACTGACAGCTATTCTCGCGCACGGGCAGAGGCGTGGCGATAGTGTTTGGCGCCCGGGGACAAGATTCTTTTCAAAGCGCCCCCTTTTCTTTTTTAAACTCTCAAACCCATTATTTTCATCAATAAAATAATGTCAAGGCACATTTTGGCGCCCCTAACTAGATGGCAGCCGTGGACATCTGTCCCCCCTTCGGTACGCTTCTGCGCACGGGGTATCTGTGTTAAAGAGTCCTTTGGTTTTATCCATATAAGCCATAAGGATGCTAAGAGCTCGGTTCAAGACATCTGAAAAAGGCTACAGAAAAATTAAATGTAGCTTAGAATATCGTCGATCACAGTACCCTAACAATGCCACAGTGATGGCTGGACACATGAGTGTTGCCCAACAAATAATAAGTCCAGTGAGAAAAACGAGCTGGTTGGATATAGACAATACTAATGAAACCAGTGACCAAAAAAAAATTGAGGCAACGCAGTTGCGTACTCGAAGGTTGAGTTACGCTTTTCTGACATTGCTGTTATTTCTTGGTCAAAATAGTTATTTGCATTGACTGTGTTCAAAAGAATCTACATGATGCTGTTCTGCATCTGAAAACTCTTCGAGATCATTTTGATGAGAAACTAGAGCGTGTGCCAGTGAATCACTAGACAAAGGGCTCAATCTCTCTGAATAATGGATTGTTGAGGTATAATGCCGTCGGTGAGGAAAAAGACAAATAGCTGATGAGGACTCGATAGAAGAAGCTGGGTTAACGTAAAAAGATCCACGCGATGAGGTCATAACGGTAACACTCGACCGTCTTCACAGAGAAATGGCTGGAAGGTTCACACGTTTACTTGACAGAGAAATGGCTGGAAGGTTCACACGTTTACTTGACACAGAGATACAAAGTTTGGGTTCTTCGATGGTAATGGACTGTTTTAAGGTGTGGACAGCGACGTGAAGTACAAGTGTGAAAGTATATGTGAATTTTACAGCTCTGATATTGATGGGCAGAAACTAAATGAGAGATTTTGGATTGCAGAATGCTGCTGTCAAGACCAACATAAAGATAACATGACATTGAGAACTTCTCAAGTTTATTGTACAGTATAGAGATGAGAATGTGTTTCCTGATCTTCACATTTCTATTCATATAATACTAAACATTGTAGTTTCCATTGCCAGCTGGCAAAGATCTTTCGGTAAAATGAAACTGATTCTTGATTATGTAAGTTTAAGGTCATCTATGGATTTTATACAGTAGAGACCCAGTAAATTTTATTTACAAAGTCATCAAACAGGCTTCCGAATTATGCACTACACAGACTTTCAAAGGAAGCCCGGAACTTGAGGAAAACAAATGTCGACCCCTCAGCCATTGGCACCAAATACCCTTGGTACGCCCCTGGAGCTCATTCATTAACCACTCCTCTTTTTTAGCTCTGATAATTTGCTTGACTGTTTTTAGTGATTTAGATATGTTTGGCTGTTGAGTGATTTTAGTGATTTAGGTATATTCGGCTGTTGAGTGATGTAGGTATGTTTGACAGTGTTGAGTGATGTAGGTATGTCTAACCGAATTTCACAAAAGGATAACTGATCACGCGTAAATTTTCCACACATGTTATCAATCCAAATGCGTATTATATTAAAAGTTTAAGGGTGATTCGTCAGAAATGAGGTGATCCTAAATTAGGTTTAAAAAAAACTTTTTGAACATGATTCAACGCCGATTGAAGTGTTCGGTACCTTTTGAAGGTGACAGGAAGCTATATTTATCTAGATTCAGATATCTCAAGATTTCTATTGATACACAATACGACTAAAGGATTTACTCTTGACAAATTGTAGACCAACCTAGATGCCTAAAGATTGTTTCTGCCCGAGAAGCGCTGTCACTTGGTGGAACATGCTGCTATTGAAAAGGCACTTTTAAAATCAGACAAATGTGTAATTTCGGTAGAGAGAAGATTAACTTTGATTAAGGCTTAAGGAGAGAATGGCAGGAGAACATTTAATTGATACTGGACTCTCTCTCTCTCTTTCTCTCTCTCTCTCTCTCTCTCTCTCTCTCTCTCTCTCTCTCTCTCTCTCTCTCTCTCTCTCTCTCTCTCTCTCTCTTTCTCTCTCTCTCTCGCTCTCTCTCTCTCTCTCTCTCTCTCTCTCTCTCTCTCTCTCTCTCTCTCTCTCTCTCTCTCTCTCTCTCTCTCTCTCTCTCTCTCTCTCTCTCTCTCTCTCTCTCTCTTTCTATCTCTGCGAGAAGAACAGTAGGGAAATGCGGGAGAGTATTGATCGCTTTCATTCTAAACTCCAGATAAGGTCATCGGCGATGAAGAAAGTTTCAGATACGTTTGGGGGTGTTCCACCCAATAGACTAATCTCAGCAAGTGAAGAAGAGTTATTGGTGTCAGTCAGTGGCGTAGCTAGCAGGGTGCGGGGGGTGTGGATTGCACCGGGTGACACCAAATTGAAAAATTGCTTATTTACTGCGCAGGCGACATTCATAAAAGGAGAACCGATCACGCGTCTATCTTTTTTAAAAGTGACCAATCCAAATGCGTGCTTTATTCAAAGTTCAAGGTTGATACGTCAGAAATGAGTTGACCCTATAATTAGGTCAGAAAAACGCAGTCATAATACAACGCAGATTGGAGAGTTCGGTAACTTCTGTAAGTGGCAGGAAGCTATATTTATCTAAATTCAGAGAAATAAGGTTTTCCATTGATACCAAATACGATGTGGTTGAGCGATTCTAAGTAAAAAGAATCGAATCGGTAAAAATTAATTATTTGTACCCATTTATTGGGTTAAAAATATAAATATTTTACACAATTTTCAATCTTTTAATAGTGAACTCTTATTTATTTTTTTTTTTAAAGTTTTTTTGAAAACATGTATAAAATTAATTATCGAAACCCAGAAATACTCAAAAATTATTTTCACCGATTCGACACTAATACCGCCCATTTACATTTATCACGATTGTTATATTTCGACCGCTGGGTTTTACCTGCCACCTTTGTGTGTTGTAATTTGGAAAGTGCTCTGACTGTTATTGAACTGTCGTAAGTAATTATTTTGTTTGTTGTCTTAAACAGGACAAAATTAAAGAATTTTTATTGTTCAAGTTTATTATATCTAGCCACACGGCGTGCACAAATCTAAACGGCCGAGTGGCTGTCAGCAGTGAAAAGCAACAAAGAAAATACGTTACTCACTAAAATCACTACCAGAATACATGATCATTACATGCTTCGATATGTCAAGAAACCAGACGATGACCAGGGCCATGGTTATTCACAAGACGTTCCACAGCTTACCAGGGTTTCTTTCAGCTATATTGGGGGGGGGGGGGGGGGGGGGTGGGGACTGCCATGGCTACCTCACAGGGGTGCTGTGAATTGTAAATAATCTACTGCTGGATAAAGTTAACTGCCCCACAGGAGAAACATATGTGCAACACAATAACGAAAGTATATTTTATAAGACTAAGTTGTGATTTTTATAACATTTTTTAAAAAATTATAGAAACTGGTGCCTTTAACCGATTAAAATAATTGTAGGAAAACTTATGAAATATCGCTATGCTCGAAATGTTTGATGATCAGAATATTAATGGCTAATCTTGTTAGAGGCTTACACTTAATTCAATTATAAATATCGTAATTTTTCAATTATTGGAGAATCTTGATTACATATTATAATGCAAAGGCTTACTTTGCGTTATTCGCATGTATCGTGTTTTTAGGGGGGTGGGGGGGGGTTCAACTACAAGACTATTAAACTAATTTAACATCCATATATACACCCGGGTTACCAAGGGCGGCGCCTACCGTCTTTGACCGGGACAGATGTGGAAAGTATGCTACCTGTCAGCCAAAAAACAGTATCAGTGACATGAATAACATTACACAAGGTACCTGTACTGTAACGTGAGATCGCTGTGGGAAAAAAAAGGGGGGGAGGGGGGAATTAGTGCATGAAATGAGCAGATACAGATGGGAATCCTAGGGCTGTGCGAAATGAGATGGAACAACTTTGGAGAAACATCGACCCAAGAAGGCAACGGACTATATTTTATTGGACGGGAGGACACTCACGAACAAGGAGTTGGCTTCCTCGTCCCTAAAAATAAAACATTAAGAACAGTATTATGAGCTGTCGACCAGTTTCTAGCCGGCTCATCACTCTTCGTCTAAGGGCAACACAGTTCAACATCACCATCGTACAGGCTTATTCACCAACTTCAGATTATGATGACGAAGAAGTGGATGACTTATAACATCAACTCAAGGATGCAGCCAGGGTTGTGGAGCAGGAAATTAATAGCTCTATGCAGCCAGGGTTGTGGAGCAGGAAATTAATAGCTCCATGCAGCCAGGGTTGTGGAGCAGGAAATTAATAGCTCCATGCAGCCAGGGTTGTGGAGCAGGAAATTAATAACTCTATGCAGCCAATGGTTGTAGAGCAGGAAATTAATAGCTCTATGCAGCAAGGGTTGTGGAGCAGGAAATTAATAGCTCTATGCAGCAAGGGTTGTGGAGCAGGAAATTAATAGCTCTATGCAGCCAGGGTTGTGGAGCAGGAAATTAATAACTCTATGCAGCCAATGGTTGTAGAGCAGCAAATTAATAGCTCTATGCAGCCAATGGTTGTAGAGCAGGAAATTAATAGCTCTTTGCAGCAAGGGTTGTGGAGCAGGAAATTAATAGCTCTATCCAGCCAGGGTTGTGGAGCAGGAAATTAATAACTCTATGCAGCCAATGATTGTAGAGCAGGAAATTAATAGCTCTTTGCAGCAAGGGTTGTGGAGCAGGAAATTAATAGCTCTATGCAGCCAGGGTTGTGGAGCAGGAAATTAATAACTCTATGCAGCCAATGGTTGTAGAGCAGGAAATTAATAGCTCTATGCAGCAAGGGTTGTGGAGCAGGAAATTAATAGCTCTATGCAGCAAGGGTTGTGGAGCAGGAAATTAATAGCTCTATGCAGCCAGGGTTGTGGAGCAGGAAATTAATAACTCTATGCAGCCAATGGTTGTAGAGCAGCAAATTAATAGCTCTATGCAGCCAATGGTTGTAGAGCAGGAAATTAATAGCTCTTTGCAGCAAGGGTTGTGGAGCAGGAAATTAATAGCTCTATCCAGCCAGGGTTGTGGAGCAGGAAATTAATAACTCTATGCAGCCAATGATTGTAGAGCAGGAAATTAATAGCTCTTTGCAGCAAGGGTTGTGGAGCAGGAAATTAATAGCTCTATGCAGCCAGGGTTGTGGAGCAGGAAATTAATAACTCTATGCAGCCAATGATTGTAGAGCAGGAAATTAATAGCTCTTTGCAGCAAGGGTTGTGGAGCAGGAAATTAATAGCTCTATGCAGCAAGGGTTTTAGAGCGAGAAATTAATAGCTCTATGCAGCAAGGGTTTTAGAGCGGGAAATTAATAGCTCTATGCAGCAAGGGTTGTAGAGCAGGAAATTAATAGCTCTATGCAGCAAGGGTTGTAGAGCAGCAAATTAATAGCTCTATGCAGCAAGGGTTGTAGAGCAGGAAATTAATAGCTCTATGCAGCCAATAGTTGTAGAGCAGGAAATTGCCCCTACCAGCGGGCGCCCATGGTACTTACTGAGTGTTCCTAGAGCTGATGAACACAGAAAAAGGCTTACGGAGTGCGCTCTTTTGAAGCGATAGCGCCCAAATTATGTGGAACAGTTTGACCCAATCTTTGAGGGGAATTGTAGATGATTAAAAATCATTTAAGAAACAATTGAAAACTTTTTAAATAGGTTTCGGGAGGACCAGAGCGCAGTGCGCATGCCAAAGTGGCATGGATACCAGCGCGATATAAAAATCAAATCAATGAATCAATCAAACCCGGCGGTAGAGTGGGGCATCAACTATAGCCTAGAGTTGTTTGTTGTTTTTTTTGTTTTTTTTAAAGGTTTTTAATTTTTTTTATAAATTAATGAATAAAAACATTAATAGCGCTGATCAATAAGAGAAATTTTACCAGCTCCGGGCAAAAAGACTGCGCCAAAAATTGTGGAACGGCAGATAATATCTACGAAGCTGTCTTGAGAGGCCCGGGAAACTATAAACATGTGGCTTCTTAAATTTTGAGCGATTAAGCCTCCTTCTTAGCATAAGGGAAATACTGCACTGGGTACATACTTAGGCCGCACAATGAGGAAGCTAAGGTCATATTTTACAAGTCATTATGTCCCCATGGCATCCCCAGTGCAAAAGAAGTGTCGTTCCTGGTTGAGTGTTGCCAGGTGATCGCTAAACAAAAAATGTGGTAGCTGACATAAGAGTGGGGGATTGACTACGGCTGCATCACCACAAAATAACGAATTCCATCGTACATACTTCCTCCTCCGATTTCAGTTATTTTATAGACCTGTAAAACACCGTTAATTTACTTTTGACATTTTCGCACGCTCTTTCTTTCTTGTTTCGTTTCATACTTGAGGTCATGGGCGCCCGCAAGGGGGGGGGGCAAGGGGGGCACTTGCCCCCCCCCCCCCGGCTTGGTTGGATAAAAATTGTTTAGCTGATGTCCTTCCGTTCGTTCTCCTTACAAATACGCTACAGTAAATTAACACTACATTAAAACATTACTAAAAATTGTTTGCCCCTCCCTAGAAAGTTAATAGATTTTTTTTGCCCCCCACCCCCCTAGAAAGTTTTCTGCGGGCGCCCATGNCTGGAAAGTTAATCGATTTTTTAACCCCCCCCCCGCCCCCCCATAAAGTTTTCTGCGGGCGCCCATGCTTGAGGCGATTTAGACAAGTGACATGTAGCCAGTATTAAATAGTCAAAAGATGTGGTAAACATGTTTAATATATAATTTACGACGATTGGGGAAGAGATAGTCCAAAATGGACCGAAAAGAGTGACGTCTTTGGATGACAACTTGAATCTGAGCGTCAAGTTATATATTTTTTTTTAAATACTTATACGGCAATATAAGACTATTAAGACATAAAATCTTTTTCCATACAATAAATTAAGACTTAAATAATATTTTAAAAAACAAGTGGTACAAACTATACTGGGAAACGGTTGAATTGTAATTAATTTTAAGATTAAAATATACATTTTTTTTAAGTACAAAAAAAAACAGTGGTCGGTTTGATTGTGTTTGGAATAGTGAACTGCTAGGACTACTGGTATTTGTAAACAAAGTGTTTATACGCACAGTTCGGCGCATATTATTCGAAAAATTCGATCTGCCGGTAACGCTCGGCATTATGCGCAGATTTGCGGCTGGTCGCAAATTTCTGTCTGAGGGGCAGGAAATCAGAAGAAAAGAAAAAAAACGATGTCGGTATAAAAATGATAAAAAGCTCCACGCGTGGGGTGGTCAACTAGTTGAAGGCAATCATAATCCAAGATGACCCTAGAATGCTAACGTCTAAATACTATCCCATTTTTTTTTAAAAAATTATTAAAAACGCTTGTTCTAATAATTTGTTAATGTCCGTGATAAAAGCGGTTGTTGTTTTTTAAAGGAGGAGGAGGCGTCTTATTTTTCTTAACACTACTTATGACCGTTGGTCATTAATACTGTTGTAACTATGGGGGTCAATATAATGAGGCATGAACAAATTATTTGGAACCCCTCGGTATAGTCGTATGATGCAAGTCTTTGGAAAATAAAGTTCACTTTCAGATCATGGTGGCCTACCCATGGTGCAATTGAAGCAGCATTCACAAGTTTCCGTGGCAATGGTATACTAGCTGAGTGTGAGGCCAGCACAATGGACAGCCATCTTTACTTCTCCCTAACTAATGCCAGAGCTGGGTAGACTTAGGGACATCCTCGAGAAAGCGGAAAAAAATCCTAGCCTTCACCAGGATTAGAACCTGGGACCCTCGGTTGGCTAGTCGAAAGCGCTGCCGTCCCCTATAAGTTTAAATTGTATTTATATTTCGATGTAGGGCCTATATGTCGCTGCCCCTCCCCATCTCTTACATGGCCGCCTGATGCAGCCACATTGCCCGCATCTATGCATCATAACACTGTAGCACGCCACGGCAAGCTCCTCAAGGCTCCTACGACTATTTCAGACAGAAAATTTCTGGACCAGGTGAAATAGGCTATAGTTTTTTTTGTCACGAAAGTCCAGCCAATGCCAAGTTGCAACAGTTTTCTTGTCACGACAGTCCAGCCAATGCCAAGTTGCAACCGTTTTCTTGTCACAACAGTCCCGCCCAAAAAAAAAAAAAAAAAAAAAAACAAAAAAAAAAAAAAATAAAAAAAAGCCAAATTGCAACAGTTTCCTTTAATTTCGTATAAGTATAATGAATTCAATACAACTAAACGGTTCAAATATTTTGAAAATACATGAATTAAAACATAGAAGCATTGGGCGGGGGGGGGGGGCAGTAAAGGACTTAGCGGACCGCCTATTGCACTAAGTCTAAGCTTACAAGTAAACAGAGTTATAACTATTACAATACAATTATTTATTTAATTTGTGCAAAGCTTCGGTTTTGAAATGTGTCTGTCCCATCTTCATTAAAGGTCGACTACTTTACACTACCCCCTCCCGGCTTGGAATATGATCCGAATTATTTCTAGGAATTTGCGTAATTATGCGAAAATTTTGGTCTACTGATAACGATTAGTATTAAATACGCACAGTTCTGCAATAATGAAGGGTAATTACTAAGTACCGGTAGTGGCTTGTACTTACGAACTTATGGTCGTTTTCTATGACTATGATCGGGGAATATTGAATTGCCAACTCTTAAGTCATAAGTAATACTTTCTTTAAATTAGTAATATGATGTGTATACCATATAGTTATAATACAATGCATCTATAAACAGTTTCATTTTCAGGTAATCTCATTTTAATCATTTTACCTATTTTCACGCATTAATAATATAGACAATATCAAATCAAGATACTATAATTTATAGTATAATATACATAATAATTAGATAATAATAATATTATAATAATATACAATAATAATAATGTCAATAATATATGATAAAAAATATAATATAATATGGTAATAGTATACTACAGTATAGTATAGAAGTAAAAGATAAATTTAGCTACATTATTACTTGTCATAACAATAAATAAATAACAACGTTTAATTAAAAACTTAATTAAATTATTTTATATAGTAATAGTAATAGTACATAAAACAAGTTAGTCGTGAGTCATGAATGTCTTAATCTGAATAGTATATAAATTATAATAATAAAACAAGTTAGTCATGAGTCAAGAGTCTATTTACACTTACTTAGTTTAGTGGTTATCATATATCAATATATCATAGTCATACCTACTGCCTACTTATGCTTAGTTACTTAGGTTATTGTGCTAACAACTTAAGCTTAAGACTTAACTCCTAAGACTAAGACTAAGACTTAAGGCAAGTTAAGGGCTTAACTTAAAGTAATAAAAATTAAAATAAATCCTATTATATTTATAGGGCCTATAGCCTATATTATATAGGCCTATGCCTATACAGGATTTACTTTAGACTTAATTATATTTAATAGTATTAATAATACTATAATTTATTATTAGGCCCACAGGGGGCAATGCATTAGCCATGATTAGCCCAGCCACAACGATGGCCACTGGTTGCTATTGACAAAAAGTCAAGTGTGCCCATCTTAATCTGAATATTTCATAGGTACTCCAACTCAAATTTTTAATTATATCTCACACACACGAAGAGAAAGAGCTGGCTTTAAGCTTTACAATGACACTAAGATAATCTTTGTATCATAATTTATAGGAAAAAAGTTATGATCTTTTTAATGATTTATTTTTCCCCACTATTTGGCTTTGTATTTAATTTTTAAAACTGTGATTGCATTATTATTATTACTCTTTTTGTACTATTTTGTTTGTATATTTTTGGCTATTAAAGTTAGAGCGCTCAAATTTGGAGGAGACATTTACAACACAAATACAATGATTAACAAAAACAAAACACATGAATTGAGAATTAATGTATTATAATTTATAAATTATGATTTTATGAGCATATTTCAAGTGTAGAAAAATTTAATTTTCCAAAAAATTACATAATTATTAAACAAATGAAGCTATTGCTTTAACATTTTCAAAACAAACAGATAATGTACATCTTAAAGTAAAGCAAATTTAAAATAAATAAAATGCAGATCAGCAAAATGTATTTAATATTAGAAAAATTATTTCAATAAAAGCAACCACTTCCACGGCGAGAAATTTTTACATTTTAAATAAATAACTTTTAAACTAATAAAGCTACTGCAATGAAATTTTCAGTACAAATAGATAGTGACAATTTAAATGTAAGAGAATATTCAAATACGGTATTTAAAAAGGCAATTAAAACCATGCTATCCAAAATTCAAAATTGTCATGTAAGTTGTCGACATTGATTTGTGGCTTCAGAGCTCTAGCTACTCTTCATCCTCATTAATTGGTAGATTAAAAGCATCTTCCTTCCATGTTTAAATTTATTTTTTTTCCATTTTGCTATCCTTGTGATGGTGATATTTGGTGAAGTTCATACTCACTACACCCCTAGGTGACCCAACTGCAAACGAATGTATTGTTAATGTTTTTTCTGGAGAAAAGGCCACTAAATCTTGACCTGCTACAGATATCACCAACTCTAGCTACGCCACTCATCTTATGGTAAACTAAGATCTGTTAAGAAATTTATTCAATTGAGCTCATTCAAATTTTCAATTTTCCAGTTTGTGTCACCCCTGCAACACCCTAGTGACTCTACTGTACATTGTTAACTGCGGGCATGTAAATACATATGTTACAAATAATTGCATTTGCAGTAGACCTAAAATATAACTATTTAGAAATTGCTCTTAAATTTTTGGACATTTAGCCAAGATAATTGTAAAATAATATAAAGTGTTTATTTTATATGAGACTCTTTTACGAGGAGTTTGACATACCCAACAAATAGACAAGACTGATATATATAACATTTAATAAGTCATAAAGCAAAATCATGGTTCAGGGTGAATATTCAAGGAAAATTTCGGATTAGACCAGGCCTAAGACAAGGAGACTCAATGTCTTCTATGCTATTTAACCTAACAGTAGAGAGAGTTATAAAAAGCATACACATTGACACCCAAGGAACAATAACAGGATATTTTCTGAGGGAACTTGAGACCCACAACCACTCTCTACAATCAACCCCTTCACTATCTTGCATATCCTGATGACATAGCACTGTTCTGATGTCATAGTACTGTTAGAGAAAAGTAGTAAAGGCATCAAAAGCCTTTACTGAGTTAGAAGATGCATCACAGCAAGCAGGGCTGGAAGTTAACAACCAAAAACAAAATACATGAATATGATAAGAGGACAGACAGATGAAATCATTAAAATCAGAAACCAGACTTTTGAAAAAGTAAATCATTCAATTCTAGTACCTAGGATCTTTATTAAATTAAAGAAACTAATTGTGAACAGAAATAAAAGATAGAATATCAGATGGAAACAGGGCATACATCAGTAGTCAGAAAATACTCAAAAAGTAAAAATATTAAAAGAAAAACAAAGAAAGGAATTACAAAACTGTCATCAGACCAGTTGTAACACATGCAAGGGAAACTTGGACCCTAACAAAAACCCCAGAAAACCTATTAAACACATGGGAGAGAAAAGTTCTCCGGAATATATATGGAATAACAAATGATGCATATTGATGGAGAATACGAACCAACCAGGAAATGTACAGTCTATAGCAGGATTCCATGCTAGGAGCAGAAATATAAAAGGGCAGGCTAAGCTGGGCAGGATACTAAAAACAGAGGAGTGAAGCGGGTGCACCACCAAAACCCCAGAGGAAAGCAACTCAAAGGCACACCTAGGCTTAGATGGATGGATAATGTGGGAAAAGATCTACATACTAGTCTACAGAAGCTGGGAATCCAAGCATGGAAAAGAAAAGCATTAGTTATGTCTGAGTGGAAGGAAGTAGTGAGGCAGGCCATAGCCCTACATGGGCTGTAGCGCCACAGAGAAGGATGGATGGATGGATTGTATAACAATGAAAGATAAAATGGTTATAAAAATTTACAAACCTAACTTACTGTGGAGTTGATGTTATCCAAATCAGAAAATAATGAAGAACTACTTGAATACTTGATTGGAGTCAACAGCATAAGCATAGAATTGTAAAAAAAAACATGAGGGGCTTTCGGCGCACAGATAAACAGATGATTTTAAAAATTTTTTTGGAAGGAAGTCAACCAACAGAAATAAGAAAAGTATGCATATCTGTTAAGTTTTCTATGGAATTTTTTTTTAATTCACTTAATTACTGTGAGAATCAAATATTGAAAAAGCAAGAGCAAACAATAACAATTTGACATGGTATTGTTAAGAAACATTTTTCGTTGAACCAAATTAAAAATTAAAATAAAATTTATTATAAATAAAACAAAAATATAGATTACCATTCACTTTCTTAACAAGGTGCCAAAATGTAAAATTGTTTTTCATTTAAATATTTGTATTAATATATACTATTTTTGGAAGAGGGCGCCTTGCTTTATTTTTTTGTCCCAGGCGCAGCTTTTGCTTGTCATGGCCCTGTCCATAGGCCTATTTTTACTATAGTATATTACTATTACAAGTTCCAAAACCCTTTTGAGCCATGACCAAATTTTTCATCATAAAATAACCACATATATTTTAACTTGCAACAGAATTAATGCCATGAATGAAATAGTAATTGTTATCAAGGTTACAAATTTGCTGTTGAGTATTTGTACATGTTATTCTTCTCAACATTAAATTTAAATATTTTTTCTTAGGTCTGCATTTTACAATCTAAACTTAGAGTAGACAAGGAAAAAATTGCTGATGTTAGTTCTAATCCTTCAATGTCCTTTTTTTTTTTAATACAAAAAAATCACCCTCCCTTAGCTTAACAGAGAATGTACAGGTAAGAGACCAGTAAGATGACCCCATTAATAATCAAGTTGAACATTTACATATGAACACATGTTAAGCTGACCTGACAGCCATGTGACCTCTATTGTGCAGGCCATTCCCAGTTAACAGGAACTTTCTCACTTGGAATATTATATGTATATATTTAAATGTATGTCTATTTCCTCTGTGCAATAGCATGTGATAAATTATCTTTTGTTACTTCTGGACCTGGAAACTAAATTCATAATAATTTTAAAAATGTAAATAGTTTAAATAAAACTAATGCAGCAGTATGTTTAAAATCACAAGGCCCTTCAGAAAAAGGAAATTTCTAGACTGTTTTATTTTAGTAATAATGAGTGGCTCTGTCACTTTTTTTCAGAAAAAAAAGTTGAAAGCCTTCTGGGGAACAATGAATTGCAGATACCCAAGGCCAGATGCAAGTATGAGGTTGTTTTGTTTTCCATGGGCTGGTGGAGGTGCTGGTTTTTATACAGCATGGGGAGAAGATATTACAGAAGATGTGGAAGGTATACTTCAGCAAAAATGTGTTTTTCATTACATAAATATTATTAAATGTTAGCTAGCTTGATTATATTTTTTAAGTAATTTAAACTCCAAAAATTTGACATCCAGTTTATGCTCATCACTGCACTTGTTGTTTGTTTGATTAAAAAATGAAATAATAATAAAGTTTATTTGAAAAACACGCTTCATCCCCAAAATCTCAAAAGCGTGGTACAAAGTCAACCATATTAAAAAGAGAAATAAAAAAAATCTAAAATTTACCACATTTAAAAAACAGACGCAACAATATAAAACTAAATACGAGCATACCGATTCAAAGTCTTTCATCCCGTTTCAACCACAAGCAACACAAGCCAATATACATTAACTGAAAAAGATGGTAGATAGCATCACCCCAGAAGGTGTTTGCGAAATAGATGTGTTTTTAAATCGGTTTAAAAGGACTCCAGTATCTGGCTGTTTCTGAGAGTGACTGGAAGTACGTTCCAAATTGTTGGGCCGGTAAATGCAAAAGTGCGCTTTCTGTAAGTCTCAAGGCAAACACGCGATATCGATATTTTGCCATTATCGGATGAGCGGAGCTCTCTAGTTGGTACATAAGGCGTCATGAGTGCTTTGAGATAAGATGGCGCCAGGTCATGTAAGCATCGGTAGCACAAAGTTGCAATTTTGTACTCTATGCGAGTGCCGACCGGTAGCCAGTGCAGCTCTCTCAGAAGTGTTTTAGCATGGTCGAATTTGCGTTTGCGAAGAACAATGCGAGCTGCATTATTCTGTGCTCTTTGAATTTTATCCAGGAGCGTAGCTGGGAGACCCACCATGAGAGATGAGAGCATTGCAGTAGTCCATGCGTGATAACACGAATGCAGACATCAGCCTCTTTGATGCATCTAACATTAAGAAAGGTCTATGACTAATCCTGCGCAGCTCTACAAAATCGCCTTGCAAAGCATGTTTTATTTTTTTCCATAGTTAGTGTTCTGTCTAAATAGACACCCAGGTCTCGCACTGTATGAGCAAACTCAATGGCCATACCTGAGAGAGTAAGTGATGTTGTGTTTTTTACAGATTTTTGTTTCTGAGCAGTGGCAATGGGGATCAGCTCAGTCTTTTCATTTGAGCTTGTTTATGGTCATCCAGTGCTTAACTGACTCCATGTCTTCCGTGTCGTACTAAGAAGTTGAGGGAACTGAGAGGGGATCACGGATTGATGACGTTGTGTATCGTCCGCGAACATGTGATACAGCATGTCAAAGTGCTTGATCACTGCACCCAGTGGCTGAACGCACATAGTGAATTAGCTGATGGTCTAGTTTATTGAAGTTCAAATACTAATATGTTAGTTTCATCTACACAGGCCTCTGGCCTCTTTTCCAGCATACATCTAACATTTTGATTTTCTACAACATTTATTGTTGCTACCTTTTTTTTTTTTTTTTTTTTTTTTATTTGTTTTTTTTACGGCCAAGTTTTGTTTTTCTACTACATTTTTTTTTGCTCTCTTTTTTTTTTTTTTTTGTAATGGTTCTTATTACGGCAGAGTTATGCTTTCTTAATATTGGCCAACCTGACTTCTGCTGTCCTTTGCACTTTTTTTTAAGCAGGCCCAAAGAGCTTTTGTTTTGTTAATCTGTATATATATTAAAATATCAGTAAGTGAAATGCCATTTCATCTGGACAGCATTGTCAGCCATTTAGCTGCAATGCAGAAGTTAAGGTTTTGGTCTGTCATTAGGTCTGATGTTTTCCTATAATCCTTAAGTTTGTATCATATATAAAAAGTAAGCTTTTATGTATTTTCTTTGTTTTTTCATTCATATATAGTCATAGAAATCTCACCATTGTTTACATGTAAAATATCTGGACCTGTTTTTTTTTCTGACAAAAAAAAACTGGCAACCCTACCTGTCATAACTTATTGATATCTAGAAATTGTTACAAACATTGAATTTTAGTGCTTGAGGTAAACTAGTTATCATTTTATTGTTTTATTATTATTCCTTTCCAGTTTTCGGTGTTTGTTTGCCAGGAAGAGAAAACCGATTCAAAGATCCTTGCTGTGATAATGCCAAAGATACTATAGACTGGATAGTGAGAACCATACATGATGAATACTTTGACAAGCCCTTTGCATTTTATGGTCATAGGTAGTACAAAATAATAATTATTTTTTTAATTATAGCATATTTTAATAATATTGTCAGTGGACAATTAATGTCATTGCACCTACTATATGAAATAGCATTGGATTTTTAAATACATAAGCTAGTTCTTTGAATGACATCATTATAAACCACCACCAAACGGAAGAATGGTTATGAAATGTATGTATAGAGCAGTAACCAAGATGAGTAACCAAGAATGTAACATGCAGTTCTTATGAGATGTTTTGCAAAGCAATAGGAAATATTATATTTATTGCAAAAAGTTGTGCAGTTAATGGGGTTTTTAGCTATCAAAGATTTCATAATTATACTTTAAATGCCCATTGTTGCCATTATTTCCAGCATGGGTGCTTTGTTAGCCTTTTTAGTCGCTCTTGAACTTAAACAACATTATAAACGAGAACCAGAACATATGTTTCTGTCTGGAACAACAGCCCCACATGTGAGTGTCTATCTAGATTACTTGACTTAATTGTTTTAAATAAAAAGCAATTGTATAATTGCAAATGGATACAAAGCATATCTATCGTATTCGGTGACATGTGTAAGTACAAAGCTAAACACATTCTGATCCTGGAACTGCTTCCAATTACATAAAAAATTTCTAGGTTGTTATATGAGACTAATTTTAAGTTTATGTTTAAGTGATTACCTGTGAATTTGATCATTTTTATTCAGTCACCTCACAGATCATCACGGATGCTAAATGTCTCAGAAATGACCAAGGATGAATTCCTAGAAAAGTTGAAACATTTAGGTAAAACATTACAATATTTTTCTTTTGTATACTAAGTACTGGCACATATATACTAAGTACTGTCAGGTTCACCAAAGCACTTCTTAGAAAAATTACATATGGTTCAAAATTCAAAACTCAGCTGCTAGGCTAGTTCTAAAGGCAAATAAACGTGATCTTGTCACACCACTACTTCATTGGCTCCCTGTACAAGCACGGATTGACTACAAACTCTCTGTTCTCTGTCACAACTTTTTCTCGAATTCCTACCCTTCCTATCTAACCGAACGTCTTTCTGTCTATTCACCCCTTCAACAGCTTCGCTCCTCCGCAGACGCGCATATTCTTTCTGTCCCCAAGACTTGCACAAAAACATATGGTCAACAATCTTTCTCTTTCTGTGCCCCCAAACAATGTAATTCTCTTCCACTATACATCCGCAATATACCGACCATCACAGCCTTCAAAACTGTACTTAAAATACATCTATTTAAATTTTAATAATTTATGCAAATTTAAAGCTTATTTATGACGAGTAATAGTTAAGTGGAAATGCTTGTTTTTTTTTTTATATTATTATCTTTTTAATTATTTCAGATTAAAGAAATGTATATATTTATTTGTAAAGAAAACAGATAATACTATAGTATAGAGCAGCGGTGACCAACCCAAATGGCTTCGCTGGCCATTTTGATCACGCGTCAACACTTCGCATGTGCTGCAAATCACATAAGCACATTTTACAGATTTAATTAAGATATAAATTTGTTTACAAATATAATTATATCGCCTTAATTTCTAGAAATTTGTGATACATATAGCATCGAAGGAGGGGGGGGGGGGAAGGGGGCAAAATTGGGGGGGGGGGGGGGGGGGGGGGGGGAGGGGGCAAAATTAATGGTGCTGGGCGGGATGCAGGTTGACCACCCCTGGTGTATAGTTTTTAATAAAAAATACTAGATTATGATTGATCTTTTCTTTAGTTTTTAGACCACAGTTTTAAAGCAGAAGACCAGCTAGCTGAATTTTTTTTATGCCTGCCGAGAGCTGATTAAAAAAAAAAAAAAGTAGTTTGAAGTTTCTCTTATTTCCACTGAATTCATTCAAACATGTCATTGTCAAGTAAATCCTCAGTTTCCTCCAACACTTGGGAGGGTGTTTGAATTAGTAAACAAATAACTTAAGTCAATGGGAACTGCTTTTTTTTTCATAAATGAGAAATGTGTATTTATTTGGTGGTAGTGAAATTCCAGATTTGAAAATAAGAAAAGAAATTGCATAACAATTATGTATAAGTTTGCGATTATTTACTCATAGCTTATGATAAAGCATTGTGAACACATCAACAGGTGGGACACCACCGGAAGTGTTTGAAAATCCAGAACTAATGGATATATATTTGCCACCCTTGTATGCAGATTTTTGCATGGTCCCACAGCTCAGGTAAATATTTGAATGAAATTTTTCATTCAAAAAAATTATAATTTCTGGAACTTGTATAGTTCCTTCAAGTAACTTATTTCAATTAAATAGTGTTATTCCTTTAGTCTTCAAGATAATAAAAACAGGACTTCTTTATGTTAAGCAAAGAAAAATTCTTCAGAAATACATTTTATTCAATAAAGGGATGACTCTTTTGCTGAAAAGTGAATTTAAATGTGTTTTTAAATTTAAACCAAATTTTTCAAAATGATTTTTCAATGTCATTTTTTTCTGACCATTTCACCATAAGCTATAAAGAGTGGCCATCTTTCATAAATATTAATCTCTATATTTCATAGGGGTCCTATATTACATAGGGGTATCCATAAAGTATATCGACAGGGAGAGGGGGTTTGTTCAAAAGCTATCAAATGCAAACGAGGGTTTATTATAATCATAAACCACCAAGAATTTAGTAAACATTTCAAAAGGGAGATCAGTCTATATCAGGCCTGCACAACTCAAAATGTAAGGTGGGCCATAATACTTTTTGAAAAACTTGTGCGGGCCATATGTTGTGCAGGCCACCTCTATATATTTGGTTGCTGTTTATCAACAAATGTAAACAGTGTTTTTTTTTCCTTTGGTTGACATTAATTGAGTGATTCATTTTAGGTGCTTTCCCCTTGATGCAATTGTCCTTTTTGGGCACCTGCTTATGCATATGTACAATGTTTTTTTTTCATAAACAATTATGATGTGAAATAGAATTAAATGAGTAAAGTCAGCATATTCCAGTGTTTCCTACCTCATACCATACCCCCACCCTGACAGCTGATATGTAGATCATATAGTCTATGGGTAAATAGCAAAGAAAAGTTGGGGGATTGAAGAAGCAGCACTTATGTGGAGGGGCGGCATTTTCAAACCAAACCCTCCCCTTCTGCAGTGCATATCGGTACATAATCAATGGGTGGATCCATAACATACTGATGTAAAAGTTAAAAATACTGACTTCGTGTGCCGGCAGATGTCCACAAACTAGCTGAGGAAAGGGGGGGGGGGGGCGTAGGGGGAAAAGAGGGAGGAAAAATGTGTATATTATGGGGAGGTCTTTTATGGACAATAAGTTAAAAATACGGACTTCGTGTGCCGGCAGATGGCCACAAACTAGGTGAGGAAAGGGGGGGGGGGGAGCGTAGGTGGAAAAGAGGGAGGAAAAATGTGTATATTATGGGGATGTCTTTTATGGACAACCTCTTATGGCTTCATGAATATTTAAGTTTATATAATTTTTATGTATACATTTTAAATTATTGTTCATAGGTATGAACACAATTCCGATAGTAAACCACCTTTAACATGCCCAATAGACTTCTTTGATGGAATGGAAGATATAGATCATGATATTGAAGGTAGGAGCATATGTCAGAAATGAAATTAAAACAGCTTGCTATTACTTTTATCTAATTTTGTATCAATTGTTTTTATATTGATAAAAAATGTGCAACTTGACCAATCCAGTTTAGTCTAAACTTTCTTTATAAACTTTCAGCATGGAGACAAGTCACTAGTGGGTCATTCTCATTCCGCAAGATGCCCGGAGGTCATTTCTTTCTCAAGGAGCCAGAGAACACTAAAAAATTAACAAATTATATCAACTTGAGATTTAGTGGCTTTGAAGACATTGTGTGAGAAATCTCTGAATTTTAAGCTCAACTTCGGACTTCAGCCACTAGTGAATAAAGACAGCAGTTTCATTATTTTTGCAACAATGCAATGGGAATTTTTTTAAAGGATAAACCAGTGGATATTTAACAAAAGAAACTTGTGAAACTATCCTACCTAAGTGTTATTTTACTGTTATTACATTTGGATATATACTTTTTTAAAAGTATTTGGCAATGCTAAATTAGTCAATAAAACTATTTTAAAATCAAATTAATGGTTATCTTTTTGTTTTCATTCTAATTTACTTTTGACAAAAAAAACCCCCCCCCCCCCCCCCCATTGATTGCAAGATGATCTTGAACAGAATTTACCAAAATTAAGCTTTACAAATGAAACGAAATAATAGAATATTAATGACAAAACCATTTTTCTTCCTACCACATACACTTGTTAAGACCCATCCCCTAATGTTTAGGAACAAGTGAGTGAACACAGCCTCATGGTAGGCTATTTAAATGTAAGGCTTTTTAATTTAAAAAATATCGACTACGTTTTTCTTGTAATCAATATTTGTATCAATATAAACAAAACTCATTTTTAAAACAGAATTACTATTGTAAAAACTACACTCTCTTTAACTTTTCATCCTTGATAAATACATCAATTTTAACATTTGTGCAACCATTTTATTTTAATAAGTGTAAATGTAAGCCAGGTTTGCCAATAAAGATAACCACCAATTTTGTAGAAAGAAAAAAAATATTGCAATCATTTAAAATAAATCATGGTAAAACTTAATGAACAATATTTTATACAAGAATTCTGATAGGAGCATATGGCTTGAGGAGAACACTGATTTTTGCAATTATGAAAGTAATGGTATTACTATATATATAAGAATAAGCTAGAGTGACATAAAAAGGGAGATATGATTTAAGTACGTTATGATTCCTAAAAACAATCTGTTATTTTCTATTATTTTACGGAAATCGAATAAATTTAAATGCGTAAAAAATATTCTAAATCCACTTTTATTTTAGTAAAACTTTAAGTATTATTATGATAAATTACAAATACATTTAAAGTATTAACTAAGGAACTATTTTAAGCATTTTATATGTGTTTGAAAGTTATGAAAAAATTTTTAAAATGTAAAATCATGATCAAAGAATTACACCGTAATAACATTTTTCGGGAAAACCCAAGCATCAGTCATTTTTAGTGCGTCTTTTAGTGTGCTATTAATATTGCGAATTAAGATTAAAATTAATTTGTTCTAAATAATCATGCAAATGAAGTCATATGCCAAAAGTCTATTTCGCCAAAACACTTGTTTCTTTAAATTTAATAACCGTCCTTGACAAAACTGATTATGTATTTTCCCTTCTTAAAAGTAAAATTAATAAATACAATTGATTGCTTTTTAAATTGTTAATAAAACACACACACATTTTTGCTTTGTATATTTTTAAATTTAAAAAGTTTTGCCTGTTATGATTCCAAAAATATACTTTTATTAAATTTATAACGTAATAAAAACCTTTAAATATAATTCTAATAAGAAAATTCGGTTTAAGTCAATCAGTGCAGCGCAACTCCATAGCTAAATAGCATTCACTAATCCATTTATACCTCATACAAATAAGAACGAACCATATGGAGTGCTAAAGATGTTAGTTTGGGTATGGAAGGGACTACAATCTGGTGGAAAATTTTCTAAATTTATTTAAATCTGGATGGGGGAGGGGTTGGTCACTTTGCCCCAGGCTGCACAAGATACGTTTCAAAATAAAGGAATGATTTTGATAAATAATTAACCTTTAGGGTACATTAGTATCAGAGGTAGGCAGGTAGGAAATAGGCTGTGTACATTTTTACGTGGATGACAATATATTTAAATCCTATGGTAATACATTTGTGAAGAAAGAGATGCTACATTCTCTTTTTAAAAATATAGGTATGTTCATTTTGCCCAAGGCAGCAAAAGATACGTCTCAAAATAAAGGAATGATTTTGATAAATAATTAACCTTCTTGGGTACATACATATCGGAGGTAGGAAATAGGATGTGTACATTTTTACGTGGATGACAATATCTTCAAATCCTATGGTATTACATTTGTGAAAAAAATAGATGCTACATTCTCTTTTTACTAATATTGGTATGTTCATTTTGTTCAAGGCGGCAAAAGATATGTCTCAAAATAAAGGAATGATTTTGATAAATAATTAACCTTCTTGGATACATACATATCGGAGGTAGGAAATAGGATGTGTACATTTTTACGTGGATGACAATACATTTTAATCCTATGGTATCACATTTGTGAAAAAAGAGATGCTACATTCTCTTTTTACAAATAAACAATATGTTTACCAATTAAGAAAATCAATGGCGTTAACAAATCTTGGGTACATTTACATAAGTATATCCGTGAATATCAAAACCCAATTATTTTACACACTTGAAAATTAAATTTTGACAAATGAAGATGGCTTAATATTTCCTTTTGTATAAAAAATTAAAATATTTTTTGTTGTTACTTTGCAAAAAAGTAAAGAGGTGTGTATTTTGATGAGATTAACAATTTTTTTTTTTTAAAAAGCCACTCAAATCTGATATAGGCATGAAAAACAGTTGCGAGATTCTTCTTAGATAAATAATTCTCTGTTTTACGATTTTCTGATAGTGTATAATGTTTAAAAAAGGCAAAAATATGTGTAAATTTATGATGATTTCAATATATATTGAATTCCTGTAATACAAAATATATTTATATCATATATAAAGTTTTTGTTGTAAATTATAGATTAAGTTTTTAAAAAATTTTGAGAGAAAAAAGTTGTAATTCAAGGACACGAAAAGGGATAAATCTAAAGTATTTCTCTAGCGTAGTAATTGTCACTCAATTAATTTCTTTAGTGACAAAAGTGATATAATTAGTGATAATTTATGTAAGGTCATGTTTAGAGGGGGAAAAGTAGTTTAGGAGCGATAGCAGATAAACACTTCTCAAAACTTAATGTTAGAAAAGTAAATATGGTTACATTTTACAGGTTATGAATTGGGATGAGTTTTTGCAATAGCAGTTAGAAATTATAGCAAAGGACCTACCATTATTATCCCGATAATATCGGGTCATTTATTCTAGTTATTACGATTTTATGAACATACATTTTGCTTATAGATTTCTCCTAATTTTGTTCAACCATCACCTTTGCATAAGTAATGTAATACTATAGATGGCCCCAAATTATTTGGATATTTTTATTGTATCCACTCAAACGTTAAGTACAGAAGCTGGCTAAATTTGAAATGAACAAATAACAGCAATCAAAATAATAAAAAGCAAGCAATTTGTTTACAAATTTTAATATCTAAGTATTTGATAAATTACAAACAATTTTTTTTAACATCATACCCTTGACACGAAACAAAATCTATGCTCAAGAAAACTAGAATGTTTTGTTATAAATTGGATTTGATAAAGATTTTTGAAAGACAACATAACAAACTGCAAATAATAGTTCAGAAAACTGCTAGTGAACCATTTCTGTGTAAACTCTTGGCCCAAAGTAATCTAGGTTATCGGTAATATTATTACCGTTTTTGAATTTATTAAAAACAAAACAGTTTGGGTCACCTAGTTTTCTTATCGAAGTATTTTAAAAGTGTATTTTTACATGATTTACCATCTTTCTGTTTATTGGAAGACTTTGAAGTCTTGTCCCCAACAGTGTCAGATTTCCTGTCTGTTGGTTTAGGGCTTCTATCCATGGCAATATGGGCTAAAATTTCACTTTGGATGTTCTTAGGTAATTCTGAAAATACTGTGGGGTCGATTTCATTGGAAACTATTGTACTCATCGTAGTACTCGGTGATGCGACTGCATTACTGGATTTCTTCTGCGATAATAGCATCAAATGTGACTCTGACATTTTAGGAAAACCATTGGTTGATTGAAAATTACTATTAGGGAAGAGAACTTTAGGGGACTGACCACTACCTTTAGATTTAGGGGACTGACCACTGCCTTTAGATTTAGGGGACTGACCACTACCTTTTGTAGACTGACCCTTCCTTTTATGAGACTGCCCACTACCATTAGGAAATGGACCACTATGTTTAGTTGACTGATCACTTTTAGAAGGTGATTGACAACTAACATTGGGTGAAGGACCACCTCCAGTAGTTGAGTGACCACTACTAATAGGTGACTGACCACTACCTGGTTGTAAATGTTTGTTTTCAAATGTTACCGTCCCAAGAGGTAAAACAGATTTAATTGCTTCCCTAGCTGAATTATCGTTGGAGTACTTCATCTTATTTTTGGTGCATGACGACACAGAGTGGACAGTAGGATCCTCATTCACTTTAGATTGTTTGATTGTGCTGCTTGATTCCTCACAGCCTGCATCCTTTGCATGTGTGCTCACTGGTGAAGTGGGTTCTTGTGTTTCCCCAGTAACAGGTAAGGAATCAGCTCCTTCTGTTGATGAAAGTTTCCTGACTTTCAAAGATGATCCTTCATCTGAGCCACGCTCTTCTTCAGCTCTCTTCTGTGGCCTCAGTCTTTTAATGGCCGGAGCCATGGGGGAAAATTGAACAGCCGCGGTGGAGTGTTGAACAGCTGCAGTGGAGTGTGACCTAGTGGTAATTGTTTTAGACATCAAAGTATATCGTCTGCGGCAGTCATCTCCTTCAGCTAGGATCCCATATTGTGCAAGTATTTCCTTCTGCAAAGCATATGGCAATTCTGAAACTGTTTTAGCATCAATCCCTTCAGGCAATAATCTCTGTAAACTATCACTTTCCTCATTTTGACACACTGTCTTGTTAACTGTTTCAGCCATTTCTAAATTCTGACCATGCTTTGCATTGCCATAAATTTTACGCATGTGTGAATTCTTAGCTGATTTTTTGGTATTCATTTTTATATCAGTGACACTATCAGACATTGAATCACTACAAGCTTGTGAAAAGAGGGGTACAGTAGAAGGTTCTCCAAGTCTTGGAATGGGGGTACAACTTTTCTCAGGTATGAAATCTGATATCGTGGTGACCTCAACGTTATTTTGAGCAACCTGTTGATCATGAACAGTTTCTCTTGGAAGCGGTGCATCTGAAGATTTGTGTTTTTTTACTGTTTGAGACGATGGATTATTTACGGGACTGGTTTCTTCTGGTAAAGTAGCACTTCCCTGATGAGAAACTGAGGTCTGCTTAAAATAGTGCATTATGGAACTTGTATTTTCATTTTGTGAGTTCTTTGGTTTAAACATGACAATGTCCCCATCATGCTTTGTACAATAAACAGCTTTCAGTGACTCAGCTGCCATTTTGTTTCTTTTGGAATCTGCATGTTTCTTTAAAAGGGAGCTGATTTTTCCTTTGCCAGTATTGCTTTTAACCAAATTAGCAAAGCTAATGCTCAAGAGTGTCAGATGAAATGGTTTTGAGGGATCTACAAGTTTTTTGAACAAGGTCATTAACACAGGCATGAGTCTCTCACACATCATATCCGTCGCACCTGAAATAATAAAACTAATAGTTAAAGGAAAAACACCTGGGCTTCTGAGGTAGATTTGAGGCATGCAGAATCTTTTTTATAGTTCATATTTTCAGCAATGTTAAAACCTCAATAGAAGCACCAGTACACACTGCACTTAACCAGCACACACTGCAGTTAACCGACACACACTGCACTTAACGGCACACACTGCACTTAACCGGCACACACTGCACTTAACCGGACTAGTCTGTCCCAATTCAAATTAAAATCTGTTTAAAATCCTTTAACCTATGTTTTTTAAAAGCAGAATGAATGTACAGACATTAGCAGTTGAAATAATGATAAATTAAATTATTACATCAAGAAATGGCGTCAGCCGGGCGTGTTTGCACTCTTTACGCCCCCCCCTCCCCCCCAATCACCCCGGCTCGAGGCATCGGGTTTCCACGACGCAACTAGCTCGCGCTGTAGCTGGGACGAAACGGTTGCCTAGGGACAGCTTTCTCAAGGCTGCATTGTTTGAATCCTCGGCCAGAGGCTACCACCCTCGCAACTTGTAATCATGATCCCTACCCTGGCTCTGCCTAATTTTCCGGCTGTGAAGTATCACAACTGGCAGCCCTGTGGGAGCTGTTTTATGTACGGCAGGTACCGAGCACACCCTTTGTCTGCCCACGCGAGGCGTGCCCAGTAGTTCTGTTTCCCGGCACACGCCGAGGGGGTCGGTGGCCGACGCTTCCTAATCGACAAGCCACAACAGACTTGCCAACCGGAAACCGGGAACGAAATAATGATAAATAAATGTTTTTAATCTATTAAAATATGCCCAGTTATTACAAGTAACAATATAACTGCAAGAGAAGCTTATTACAAATAAGCTTATTACAATGCAAATAAATACTCCAAGGAGTTACAATATCTTCAGCAGATAAAATAAATACCAAGATCTACCTTATGTTTGTGATTAATTTTGTACATGTCATAGATCAGTTTTGTACATGTGATACATTAATTTTTTACATGCTTATTTGCATGAAGTTGGGATATTCAGTTAAGTCTTCATAAGCAGTGAACAAAACAGCAGAGACTTTATAATGGTCTATTCACATCTCTTTATAGTCCTCTTACATGTTTCAACTGTCTGGTGCAAACCCGTAAATATCAATCCAGGAACTGGGCACTGTCTGCTTTCTCTTTTTCTGTACACATATTTGCCACCACTTTGCCAAGTTTTATAGCCATCTGCCACTCGTCTGATTGTCAAACGCACTGTTTGAGGGACTCTTCCATCTTCTATTAATCTATTCAGTATAAAAAAAAGTATGAAGAATAAAATGTTAGTGATTAAAAAACTAAATAAACATAAAACAAACATTTTTGATAATTTTATTCAAATATGTTTATTTGAAATTCAACGTGGCCTCTGAATAATGAACTATAAATTTCAGTGATAAAAATTAAGCTTCTACATGTGATATAAATAGAATGGGTTTAATTGGTTGTTGCAACGTTCTGCTGTGTCAATCACTTAATTTTAGTCTAAGTTCAACATTTTTAGATTATTTTCTCATCCATTGTCATTAAAAAAACTGCATGTAAAATCCTGGATATGCAGTAATTAATCCCCATTATTGTAGATAACATGTACAGTAGCAGATTACAAGTACAGTAGAAAAGTAAAGTAGATATTAAGTACAGTAGATAAGTTGGTGTGGGAATGGTGGATTAAACTGAAGTAGATTCAGTCCTCCCCCACTGTTGATTTTTATTATTCTCACTATGTCTCTAATGAAGAACAATGAGACAAACAGAATATTAATTGTTGAATTATCAAAAAACATATTCAGAATTCATCTATATCAATTGAGTGAATATAATTTTATGAAAATATGCAGGCTTTATTCAATTTTGTGTCATTAATTAAATACAAATACTATTTTATTTAACATAAGAACAATGAAAAATTAGCATTTTAAAAAGAAAAACTCACCGTTTTAACAGGCTGATCAGCAAATTTTTAATTCTTTCTTCAGCATCTTTATACTCACTGCAGCACTTAAAAGAATCCTCATCACTCAAGGTCTAGGGAATGTTACAAATATCATCTTCTTCTTTAAGTAAAATCATAAATTACAACAACATTTTTAATTTTAGCCTTTTTTGTTATAACAGTTTTACTTATTTAACATTGCATTAATAAAAGTTTAAGAGTTTGTCCATTCAATTAAGTATGCTCAAAAGAGCTTAGAATTCTCACCTGCGGTAATCCATATTTAAGAACAGGAGAATCATCTACACCTTGGCTGCACTTGATGAGAAAATCTGCTTTGACTGGTCCAAACTCTCTTTCTAAAGTCTGTTTGTCAAAACTCTGCAAATCTTTAATAGTTGTTATTCCAATTTGTTTTAGCATGTTACCTGTAGTTAGGCCTATGCCTGTAAAAATATGAAAATCTTATCTGAAATTACTGTGACTTAATATAAAAGAGAGACAACATTTTGTAAAGAAAATCTAAAATACAATGATGGGATTTATCTCTGATCAAAAATTAATATAATAGTACCATCTGGACATCTCAAAATTAAAATGTATGTGTTCAACAGTTCAAGACTGTTATTAAAATCATTGACTGAAGTTCAATAAAGTCATTCTACCTGGAATTTTTCCAACAGATAACAGAGATGAAATGAGTCCTACAGCCATGTGAGGTAGTAATGATGTCTGCTGATTAGGTTTGTGAACAGCTCCAACCAGTTTGGCTAATAGTTTGTTATGTGCAATACCAGCACAGCTTGTAATGCCCAGTTCTTTTCTTAGAGCTTCTCGAATATCAGCAGCTATCTGAGAGGCAATCTGCAACCTTAATTCACATCCACAATTACATGTAGGTTTAGGAACTTCTAGATAGAAAAGAGGGGAAATTCAGGTAAATAGCAGCAAAAATTTTTAACAAGTATTCACTAATTAAACTACCGGTATCACATTTGCTCTAAAAATAAATCAAATTTCAAGAATGCCACAATCAAAATTTAGCAGTTAGTTGGATAAACCACAATATTTTTACTGAATGAAAAATACATAATTAAAGAAAGGCAATATATATCATTTTGCTGATTTCTCCATGACATTGTTTGCACATTATTTCTATAACAGAAATGAACTGAAATGAAATAAGGAATATTAGGTTTGCACTAATAAGCAAAGTAGATGTATACCAATCTAGGTTTAATTGGTCTCACTATGTATTTTTCTTTAAAACTTTTTATTGTAATTAATCGTGAATATGGTCCTAAGGGAAGCTGACACTGTTCTGCTCCCCTACCGGCTATGCTGCTGAAGATAGTATTTCAAGTTTCTTAGTACAAATACAGGAAAGTGGCCAAAATACACACATTTATCTAAATCAATTATACACACATTTATCTAAATCAATTATACACACATTTATCTAAATCAATTATACACACATTTATCTAAATCAATTATACACACATTTATCTAAATCAATTATACACACATTTATCTAAATCAATTATACACACATTTATCTAAATCAATTATACACACATTTATCTAAATCAATTATACACACATTTATCTAAATCAATTATACACACATTTATCTAAATCAATTATACACACATTTATCTAAATCAATTATACACACATTTATCTAAATCAATTATACACACATTTATCTAAATCAATTATACACACATTTCTTTCAATTTCATCCAAAACCTCTCCCCAAAAATCGGGGATCATTTAAGTGCTTTGCACAATAAATCAAATGATGCACAATCAAATGATGCACAATCAAATGATGCACAATCAAATGATGCACAATCAAATGATGCACAATCAAATGATGCACAATCAAATGATGCACAATCAAATGATGCACAATCAAATGATGCACAAGCAATGTATTGTAAATGCACGTAAAAATAATGAATCAAAATAATTAATCTTGTTAAAAATCTCACCCTGCTGTGAAAAGGAGAGCCGGGTAAACTATGAGGAGAGCCGTGTAAACTATAAGGACAGCCATGTAAACTATAAGGAGAGCTGGGTAAACTATGAGGAAAGCCGTGTAAACTATAAGGACAGCCATGTAAACTATAAGGAGAGCCGGGTAAACTATGAGGAGAGCCGTGTAAACTATAAGGACAGCCATGTAAACTATAAGGAGAGCCATGAAAACTATAAGGAGAGCCGGGTAAACTATAAGGAGAGCCGTGTAAACTATAAGGACAGCCATGTAAACTATAAGGAGAGCCATGAAAACTATAATGAGAGCAATGTAAACTATAATGAGAGCCACGTAAACTATAAGGAGAGCAATGTAAACTATAAGGAGACCCATGTAAACTATCATGAGAGCATGGTAACTATAAGGAGAGCCATGTAAAATATCGTGAGAGCCATGTAAACTATCGTGAGAGCCATGTAAACTATAACACTAGTGCAGTTTGAGACATAAAATAATAGCTAGAAAATTACCAAATAAAAACATCAAAAAGGGTAAGTTACATCATTTTAAAGCTTCACAGATTTGAAAAAGTCTATAGTTATATAGTGTTGACCGATCGTTGTGTAAACTTTAACAACATCACTAACAGAAAAATATAAAAATGTGGACCAAAAATATTAGATGTCAAGTTTAGAGTCTTGGGCATATCTATTTGGGTAAAATTTTGAAGAAATTCAAAAACACCATGCAAGACTCTATTAAAAAATACCTTGATTTACATTTGAGACTTGGAAAGCATTTTCTGTAAGCTGATTCATCTACCCAAAAAGGCTGATTACTTATTTGATCCCAACAAATCAGTAAAAATTTATTAAATATGATGATTGCTATATGTTGCAAGATATTTCAAAATAGTGGTGACTAACTCATTTAAATATATTGACAATGACATATGTAGTTCAATAGTGTATTACTTTTTAGAATCTAATTTACTATGTATAAGTACAAATGTTACCTTCATATTCACTTGATGTATAAACATGACCCAAAAATTCAGTTTTATAATTTCCATCTTGCAACCTCCAAGAAACAAGTTCAGAAACATCTACAAAATTCTCATCCAATCCAAGTCTTTCAACATGAGGGGAGTACTTCTTTATAAACTCTATGATTATGAAAAAGCAAGAATTAGAAATAATAACTTGCAACTGAATATGACTGAAAACTATTCCTCAAATTATGTACCGAGTTAAATAGCTCTTATGTACTTCTTAATATAGGGTTTTGTTTGCTCTTTAAAATATCTAACCTGTGTTAAAAATTTTAAAACTTACCTGAAATCTGATAAGACATCTGTCTATAATTAGTAAGATCTTCACCACTAACCAGTATGAGTTGAGGACACAGTTTTAAAGCGTCAGTCACATATGTACATTTGTTTACACCAAGTTGCCTCGCTACATAGTTACATGTGACTATTATATTTTTCTGTTGTATGCCTGTTAGAAATAATTTCATAATAATCCAATGTATGTCACACATTTCAATGTTACATTAATCAATACATTTTAAATATGACATGTCTTCTGTTAGCAAGACTGGACAACAACTATGAGGAACAAGTAATGTATTCCTACTTGTAATTAAAAAGTGGTGAAACATTATGGATGAGATAAGGCAAGTAAAGAGTAATCCAAAAAAATTATTGAAATGGCTAGTCACACATATTGGATTGTTTACCTAGAGGTTTGTTACATAACTCAGGATTATGTAACATTTCCACTTGTGCATAAAAGCAATCAATGTCTATATGGATGATGCTGCGGTTATGTTCTTCCTTTAAATCTGATGTCTGATTTGCTTATACATAATATAAAAATAAAAAGAAAGTTACAAATGCAATAATTTTATTATATTAGTATTAGTAATATTAGTAATTATTAATAACCTAACTAATGTTAATTAACAGAGGTTAACAGCTAACTGCTGAACTATTTATTTTTAAAAATTGCTTAAGGAAATGCTATTAAGCTCTGCATACTTTTTCTAGTATTTAATGAAATCTGTATAAGTAGAGAGAACAAAAATTATAGATAATTATGATAAATGTAACATTTTATTACTCAAAAATGAATAGCCTCAATGCTATTATGATGAAAATTATTTGTAAAACATATTTTATATGTTTCCAAAACCTGCTAAGTTGACATAAATTTCACTGAAGCCTTGTAAGGTACATGATTTGGCAGAGATGATAACAGCAAATGGCAAAAGGGGAGACAATTTACAAACTTCTGAAGTATTACTCACCTGTACCAGTATTTAATTATTAAGTTATTAATTAACAATAATTTAATGATTTATTCCTAACAATAGTATTCATTTTACTTGTCGTTTTACTTTTTGAAATTTAGCAAAATTAAAAAATATTTTTAAAAACTTTGCAGTTCCGATACTTAACCGTTGATGAGTTATTAATACCTATAATACTGCACATTCTCAATTCGTTTGAATTGAACTTGAAACCAACTATGCCATAACTAAAGACCCCTGGTTCTCAAAGGAAGCAATACCAGGCCAGGGCGGGGGCGCGGGGGGGGGGGGCTGAAAGGCTGGGGATATTTTAGGGCATACTTGGG